TTCTCATTCTGCACGTGTCTGTTGTGACCATGGGTGCAAGGTATTTCCATGCCAAGGAGTGGGGGGGTGGTGAGCAGGTGCACAAACATGTGAACAGACACACACACACACACACATCCCTCTAAAGCCTCCAGCCAAGACACAGGTGGATGAGGCTGAGAGAGCCCGGTGCCCCTTTTTTTTCTCCAGGGAGGCTGGACCACAGCCAGGCCTGGGGATGATGGCACATCGGCCTTCCCCCTCTCTCTTCTCACACTCTTAGACCTTGCTAGACACTGAATGAATTTGTGTCCTTTCCCAGATTCACAGATTGAGTCCCACACCCCAAAGGTGATGGTATTAGGAGGTGGGGCCAATTGACTAGGCCATGAGGGTAGAGCCCTCACCGATGGGATGAGTGCCCTTATAAGACCCCAGAAAGCTCCCTCGCCCCTTCTGGCACATGAGGACACAGTGAGAAGACGGCTGTCTCTGTGAACCAGGGAGTGGGTCCTCACCAGACATGGAATCTGTTGGTGCCTTGATCTTGGACTCGTGGTCTTGAGAACTGTGAGAAGTAAATGTGTGTTGTTTGTAAGCCACCCAGCCTGTGGCGTTCTGGTGTAGCGGCCCTGACGGACTGAGGCCTGGAGTCTGCAGAGATGTCCTGAGTCCTTCTTCGTTTCTGAAATCCACTCCAATTCAGAACAAATACCCAATGGCATACCGAGGAGGTGGGGCTAAGAAAAAAAAAAAAAAAAAGAATTGATGTCTCTGATGTGTGATCTCAGGGCACGATTCTCTGTACAGCCTGGTTTCTGCATCTGTACCGTAGGTGGATACGGTGCCTGTCTCACAGATCCTGTGCGCTCCACGAGAGAGTTCATGTAAAATGTTTAGTATGAGGCCAGAATCGAACTTTTGATATGTTCTATCTGGTATTGCGGAAGCAAGTACCAGATACTGGTATCTGGTTACAGACTTCGTTCTTAACATCTGTGTGGCCTCAGGCAAGTTGACCCCTTGTCTCCACTTGTCTATACCCTGGCCTAAGCCTAGAACTCTCTCTTCTGATGAAGTTACTGACTTCCTTCTTTAACATCTGTGTGGCCTCAGGCAAGTCATCTGACCTCTCAGTATTAATTGTCTATCGCTGTGTAACAAATGGCCCTAGAGTTAGTGGCATAAGAGAACACACATTTGTCATCTGACAGTTTCTGTGGGGGCCAGGACTCCGGGCACAGCTTATTGGGGTCCTCGATGGCAAGGTCGCTTAGCTGTAGTGAGGTGTCCACATCAGGCTGTGGTCTCATCTGTAGGACCAACCGGAGGAGGGGTCTGCTCTGAAGCTCACCATATGGCTGTTGGCAGGACTGGGTTCATTGGGGATTGTTGAACTGAGGGTCTCAGGTCCTTGTTGGCTGCTGGCTGAGCTCGGTTCTTTGCCACGTGGACCTTACTGTCATGTGCTTGCTTCACCACAGCAAGAGGGCTAAGAAGGCCAGAGAGCCCATCGCGTTGGAAGTGACGGTCTTTTGTCACTTCCACTGGGAAGCGGTATCCCAACACCTCTGACCTACCCCGTGGGTCAGAAGCCATCGCCAGGTCCAGCCCCCAGTCAGTGAGAGGGGATCACACAAGGGCATGGGAAGGGGAGATGGGCCTCTCGGGAGGCCATCTGAAAAGCCGCCTTCTGTACTTTCTGGGCTTTCATTTTTCTCACTGTAAAATGAGGAAATCAGAACATCTATGGTGCACGTGCTCATTCGTGCAACAAAGAATTACGGAAGGCCTGTGTTGAATCTGGCTGTTCCGAGGCTCGTGGTGGCCCAGGTAGACAAGATTCCTGTCCTCGTGAAGCGTACACGCCAGTGGGGACGCAAGAAGGCAGACAAAAGAAACACGTGTATAAATAGACAAGATCAGGGATCCCTGGGTGGCGCAGTGGTTTGGCGCCTGACTTTGGCCCGGGGCGTGATCCTGGAGACCTGGGATCGAATCCCACGTCCGGCTCCCGGTGCATGGAGCCTGCTTTTCCCTCTGCCTGTGTCTCTGCCTCTCTCTCTCTGTGTGACTATCATAAATAAATAAAAAAAATTAAAAAAAAAAATAGACAAGATCATTGGAGTTAGCAAGAGGTGCCATCAGAGAAATGAAACAAGAGAGTGGACGGGGAGGGGCTGGGTGCTAATTTGTTTTTGCCAGGGCGGGCTGCTCCGAGGAAGTGACATTTGAAGGAACTGAAGCCCGCAGACCAGAAGTGGCCGGTCGTGAGTGAGCACCTCTGGAAAAAAAAGTAGCGGAATGGCAGGTACAGTGTTGGCTCAAGCTTGATTTGATTGAGCACCAAAAAGGTCACCGCAGTCTCAGCTTAATGGCGACGGGGGAGGGTGATAGGGATGTAGTCAGTAGTGGGTGGAGACCAAGGTGAGAGTTTGGGTTTCAGTCTGAGTGTAGGGAGAGCTGTGGGAAGGTTTGAGCCGGGGAGGGACAGGCTCTTATTTGCATATACAGGCTCCTCTCTGGCTGATGTGGAAGGGGGACTGACTTCAGGGTGGCTGGGGTGGCGGTGGGGGGGTGGGGGGGCAGGGCAGCGATGGGTGGGAGGAGGTTTCGGGATGTGGAACAGTGGTGGTTTAGGCCAGGGTATAGACAAGTGGGGAGAAGGGGTCAAATTTGGGGCACACTTTGGAGACAGAGACAACTAGACTCAGCAAAAGATAGGAAGAGGGTGCTGGGCATGGGAAACAAAGAATCAAGGCTGACTCCTCGCTTTGGGGTTTGAGCAACTGGATGGTGCCCCTTACTGGAAAAGGGGATGTTTGGGGAGTAGAAGGAGTTCTTTTGCTGCCACCTAAGGTTTGTGATGATAAAGGAGCCAAGTTCACTGCCCGGTCATCCCAACTTTCTGCCCCACCACTCAGCACTGTGCTGTGCCTGCCCAGCTGGGGGGTGCTGAGGTCTGGGGACCCACGCTGTCTTCCCTATACTTCTTCCTCCTGGCTGCGGAGAGGGGACCCAGTCAGGGGTCTAGAAGGCCGGCCTGGGTCTGGTGGCCCAGCAGAGTGTGGTGGAGATAGCTGAGTGGCTCTCAACCTCTCTCTTCCTGCCTTCTCCTCCTGCTGGTTCGCCTTCCTGTGGGATTGCAGAAGTGAAAAATATGAAAAAAAAAATTTCTTAGACTTCTTTCCAGCTCTGGTTCTGGATGCAGATGAGGTTCTACCAACTTAGAAATGCTCGCGAGATTTGGAAGGCAGAGTGAGTGTGTGTGCGTGTGTGCCTGTACCTATTTCCAGGTTTTGTGGGTGTCGGGAGGTGTGCTTGGATTCTGTAAATCTGGTGGCAGCCTCTCGATTCTCTACCTTTCTCACGGAGCAGAGAAAGCAGTTCCCTGGTGGCTCAGCTCTGTGATGTTCCAGCCTGTTCGAGGGCTGCTCAGAATGTGGTCTCATAGGCAGCATCACCACCATCACCTGGGAGCTTGTTAAAAATGCAAAGTCCGGGGGTGCTCGGGTGGCTGAGTGGGGGGAGCACACAACTCTTGATTCTGGGGTGGTGGGTGTGAGCCCTGAGTTGGGTATAAAGATAACTTAAAAACTTAAAAATAGGGATCCCTGGGTGGTGCAGCAGTTTGGCGCCTGCCTTTGGCCCAGGGCGGGATCCTGGAGACCCGGGATCGAATCCCACGTCGGGCTCCCGGTGCATGGAGCCTGCTTCTCCCTCTGCCTGTGTCTCTGCCTCTCTCTCTCTCTGTGACTATCATAAAAAAAAAAAAAAAAAAAACTTAAAAATAAATAATTCTTCTTCTTCTTCTTCTCCTTCTTCTCCTTCTTCTTTCTTTAGATTTTATTTATTTATTCATGAGAGACACCGAGAGAGGGGGAGAGACACAGGCAGAGGGAGAAGCGGGCTCCCTGTGGGGAGCCCGATGTGGGACTCGATCCCAGGACCCTGGGATCATGACCTGACCCAAAGGCAGACGCTCAACCACTGAGCCACCCAGGTGCCCCCCAAATAAAATATTTTTTAAAATGTGAAGACTTGGGCCTCACCCCCCGCCCAAACCTACTAAACCAGGAACTCTATGGTAGAACCCCGGAAGCTGTGCTGTAGCCAAGTTTTCCTGGAGATTTTTTTTTTTTTACTTATTATTTTTTTTAATGTAAGCCCTACATTTAACCTGGAGCTCGAGGTGACGACCCTGACAACCCTGAGCCCAAGGGTCGTGTGTTCTACCCCCTGAGCCAGCCAGGTGCCGCTTCTTGGTGAGCCTTTTGCATGCTAAAGTTTAAGAAATAAGCCCACTCTCTCAGTCCTTCCAACAATGCTGTAAGCCCCTAAATCCTCCTACTAAATCCTTCTCTGCTGAATATGCCTACCACGGCCCTTAGGCCCTTACGTTGAACTCTGGCTGATAAAGGGGAGTCAGTGTTCTAGACTTATCATGTCAGGGCTTGAGCCCCAGCTCACCACTTAATAGCCAGTGGACTTTGGGCAAGAGCCTCCGTGTGGCAGGCTGCAATTTCCAAAGCCGGTCACGGCGATAGCTCCCATCCCACATGCCCTTCTGGAATCTCACCTCTACCCTTAAGAGGTGGGGTGTACATCCCATCCCCTTGAACCTGGGTAGTAGACCTTTGTGACCCTGTCGACTAGGAGTCCAGAGGACACTCACACTGTCACTTCTGAAGCTAGGGCAGAAAAAGGCCTCGCTTTCCTGGGATGGTGGCTCACGGGGAACCGGGCACCCTGCTGCGGGGATGCCCCAGCAGACCTTGGGGGAGAACCGATGCCCTCCTTCTACCTGCCCCTTCTGAACAAATCCAGGCTCAGAGATGGCAAGTGGCTTACTTAACCCCACACAGATCGTTAGTGGTCTAGCCCGCTCTGTGGGACTCTGAAATCTCTGCCTGGCTCCCCACCGCCCCCGGATCAGAGGCTCCTTCTTCCCCACCCAGTTGCACCCCATAAGGCTCACTTCCTGACCGTCCCACAGGGAGATGAAAAAGGCTCCGGGCAGAAACAGGGCAGGACAATAGTTTATTATTTATTGCAGGTGAAGCAGAGGGGAGGGGGGTGGGGAGGCCTTTGGCTCACATGCTCAGGGCCTGCTCTCTTGGCAGCACGCAGCCCTCCACCGCTGGGGGTGGGGGGTGTTGGGGGGGGAGTGGGTGGGAACCGAGGTTGGGAGAGCAGAGGGGAGTTGGGGGGGTGGGAGGAAAGAGGAAGGGGGGGAGGGCGCTCAGGGGAGGGGAGGTGGGGCTGCCAGTGTCAAGGGTGAGGCCAGGAGGTGGAGGCTAGGCCGCAAGCTGGGACCCCGAGGTCTGGGGGCGCAGTGGGGTTCGTGGGGAAGGTCAAAGGTGGAGGAGAGGTCGGAGTGAGTTAAAGGTGGGGCTTGCCGGGTCACTGGTGAAGCGGGGCTCACGGGTCAAAGGTCAGCTAGCTCCCCCGACCCCCACCCCCAGCGTGAGTGGGAAGCCAGGCTCCTGGGCTCCTGGGCTCCTGGGCTCTGGGGAGGAGGAGCGAGGGCTCCCTGGCCTGGCGCTGGCACAGCCCTAGGCCACCTCCTCCTCGGCCTCCTCCTCGAACTCGCCCTCCTCGGCCGTGGCGTCCTGGTACTGCTGGTACTCGGACACCAGGTCGTTCATGTTGCTCTCGGCCTCGGTGAACTCCATCTCGTCCATGCCCTCGCCCGTGTACCAGTGCAGGAAGGCCTTGCGCCGGAACATGGCCGTGAACTGCTCCGAGATGCGCTTGAACAGCTCCTGGATGGCCGTGCTGTTGCCGATGAAGGTGGCGGCCATCTTCAGGCCGCGGGGCGGGATGTCGCACACGGCCGTCTTGACGTTGTTGGGGATCCACTCGACGAAGTAGCTGCTGTTCTTGCTCTGCACGCTCAGCATCTGCTCGTCCACCTCCTTCATGGACATGCGGCCGCGGAAGACGGCGGCCACCGTCAGGTAGCGGCCGTGGCGCGGGTCGCACGCGGCCATCATGTTCTTGGCGTCGAACATCTGCTGGGTGAGCTCGGGCACCGTGAGCGCCCGGTACTGCTGGCTGCCGCGGCTGGTGAGCGGGGCGAAGCCGGGCATGAAGAAGTGCAGGCGCGGGAAGGGCACCATGTTCACGGCCAGCTTGCGCAGGTCGGCGTTGAGCTGGCCCGGGAAGCGCAGGCAGGTGGTGACCCCGCTCATGGTGGCCGACACCAGGTGGTTGAGGTCGCCGTAGGTGGGGGTGGTCAGCTTCAGGGTGCGGAAGCAGATGTCGTACAGGGCCTCGTTGTCGATGCAGTAGGTCTCGTCCGTGTTCTCCACCAGCTGGTGCACCGACAGGGTGGCGTTGTAGGGCTCCACCACCGTGTCCGACACCTTGGGCGACGGCACCACGCTGAAGGTGTTCATGATCCTGTCCGGGAACTCCTCGCGGATCTTGCTGATGAGCAGCGTGCCCATGCCCGAGCCCGTGCCGCCGCCCAGCGAGTGCGTCAGCTGGAAGCCCTGCAGGCAGTCACAGCTCTCGGCCTCCTTCCGCACCACGTCCAGGACCGCGTCCACCAGCTCGGCGCCCTCCGTGTAGTGGCCCTTGGCCCAGTTGTTGCCGGCTCCGGACTGGCCTGCGGAGTGGGGACAGGGGAGGAGAGCTCGACCTCAACGCCACCCAGGCCATCCTAGCACTTGAATAAGGACATTTTTTTGTTTCTAAAAGATTTATTTATTTATTCATTCAGAGAGAGCGAGAGAGAGGCAGGGACACAGGCAGAGGGAGAAGCAGCCCCCATGCAGGGAGCCCGACGTGGGACTCGATCCCGGGTCTCCAGGATCACACCCCAGGCTGTAGGCGGCGCTAAACTGCTGCACCACCGGGGCTGCCCCTGTTTTTATTAGTCTCATGGTTAATCCTTCCCTCTGCTTCCACGCCTGCCCCTCTTCAGCCAGCAGCCAGAGGGATTCTGTTAGAACCCGAATGGAGGGATCCCTGGGTGGTGCAGCGGTTTGGCGCCTGCCTTTGGCCCAGGGCGCGATCCTGGAGACCCGGGATCGAGTCCCACGTTGGGCTCCCGGTGCATGGAGCCTGCTTCTCCCTCTGCCTGTGTCTCTGCCTCTCTCTCTCTCTCTCTCTCTCACTGTGTGCCTATCATAAATAAAAAATAAAATAAAAAAAGAACCCGAATGGATTCCTGCCCCACTTTGGCTCAAAACCATCCCACGTTGGCTCAAAACCCAGCTCTGTCTATAACAAGAGCTCACGTTTGTCCCTCAGCCGGCAAGGCCCTGCAGGACCTGCCACTTCCCCTCCCTGCCGTCGCCTCCTCCCTCTCTCTCTCTCTCTCTCTCTCTCTCTCTCTCTCTCTCTCTCTCCCTTCTCGCTCACTCTGCTCCAGCCACAGGGTCCTCCTTGCCATTCCTCCAACACACCACCCACAGTCCTGCCCCAGGGCCTTTGCACACACATTCCCTTTGGCTGAAATGCTCTTCCCCGCAGATTCCCACGCCACTCTCTCTCCTCCTCCAGCGCTCTGTCACCCTCAGTGAGGGTCTCCCTTACCACCCTATATACAACTGCAACCCCTCCCATTTTTTAGTCCTCTTCCCTGTTTTTTTTTTTTCCTCAAAATACTGACAAACCTGTGCTGTCCTATTAATCATGTTTATTGCCTGTAATGTCACAGGGAAGTGTGAGCTCTGGGAGGACAAGGATTAGTGTTAGAATATGAGCTGGTTGGGATCCCTGGGTGGTGCAGCGGTTTGGCGCCTGCCTTTGGCCCAGGGCGCGATCCTGGGGACCCAGGATCGAGTCCCACGTCGGGCTCCCGGTGCATGGAGCCTGCTTCTCCCTCTGCCTGTGTCTCTGCCTCTCTCTCTCTCTGTGACTATCATACATAAATAAATAAAGATTTAAAAAAAAAGAATATGAGCTGGTATTTTCATGAAAAGGTAACATTTCTTCTCATCCCCTCCTCTGACTCCACCCTGGTCTGACCTCATCAGCCCTGCGCTGGACTGGTTCCCACCTTCATCTCCACCCTACACCCCCAAAGTCTGTTCTCCAAGCCACCAGAGGGCGCCCGTGAGTCAGGCCCTGCCTGCGTCTACCGGCATCGCTCCGGGGCTCCCACCTCCCTCAAGGTACAAGCCCAAGTCGCCGGCAGCCCACAGGGCCCTGAGCGACCTGCTCCCAGCCTGTCACCTACCTGCACTTGCCTCCTCCCTCTCTCCAGCTTGCTCACCCTGCTCTAGCCACACAGGCCTCCTTGTTGTTCCTCCAGCACACCAGGCCTGATGCCGCCCCAGGATCTTTACACCTGCTCTTCATTCTGCCTGGGATGCCCTTTCCCCCAGATAGTCACATGGTTGACTCTTCCTTCAGGTCTCTGTGCCAGGTCACAGCCTCAGAGAAAACAGGATGGCCAGGCAATCTGGCTCCTGACTCCACACTTTTACTACTGCCTCCCCTCCCCTCTCTCCTGGAACCCATAGAATCCCATGGTCCCGATGGAGCCCTCCCTGGGAACCCCTCGTGCCCTGTGGCCAACATTATTTAGTCCTACCACAGCCGTATCCACACAGGAGGATCATTATCTTGCTGAATCATCCCACAGACCAGAGAGGGGGAGTCGCTTGTGCAAGGTCACACAGCTTGTCTTGTCAATGTCTAGACTTCAGCCTGGACAAACCACCCTGCTCTGAGGAAGAGAGGTGCCCGGGGTGCTGGGGGAGAGGGTGGGGCCTGGGGCCTGAGGCCAAGTGGGGGTGTGCAGCCAGCCTGACCTGGGAGGCACCAGGGAAGGTTTCAGAGAAGGATCTTCACAGAGTGTGCGTGCACCTCGAATCTGAGGGCCACAAATGTGTCTGTGGTCTTCATGTGCTGTTCCCTCTCTCTTGCACATCTTTCCTCCCTTCAGTGTGTGGGTCAGCCTGTGTCCCACTCTTATTTTAGGCTGGAGGTATTAATGATGGCAGTGAAAACCTCAAATGCTTATTTACCTTTTGCTCTCCACTCAGCATTGTTCTAAGTGCTCTGCGCATATTAATGGCTTTCAGCCTCCCATCCTGACAGGTAGGTCTTTTTGTTTTAAAGATGTGGAGACTGGGGCACAGAGAGATTCAAGAGCCCCTCTTAAGTCACCCAGCTGGCTCAATCGGTGGCTGAATTTTACTTATTTATCTCCTCTCTTGCCCATCTCCCTCCACTGGGAAGTTGGCTCCAGTAGGGTAGAGAGTTTTGCCTGCTTTGTTCATCTGGGGGTAACAGCAGGACCTGGTATGCGGTAGGTGCTCAATAAGTTATTTGTTGGATGCATGAAATGGCAGAGCTGGCATTTTCACCCAGGCAGCCTGGCTCCAGTCCATACTGTTAAATTAAAATGCCACCTCCTCCAGGAAGCCTTCTCTACACCCTCCCCCATATCAGATGCCTGTCCTGGGCTCCCGCAGTGACCTGTGTGTCACGCGTCACAGCCCTGACTGCCCCGTCCGCCTGCCCCACTGGGCCGTGGGGCCCTGCGATTAGCACTGACGTCTCCCATGCTATGTGAAGAATTTCCACTAAGCATTTGGAAGTGAAAGGAACAGGGGGGCTTCCCATGCCTAGAACTCACCAAACACAAAGTTGTCAGGCCGGAAGATCTGGCCGAAGGGCCCGGAGCGAACAGAGTCCATGGTGCCAGGCTCCAGGTCCACCAGCACGGCTCTGGGAACATAATTTCCTCCTGCAGGGAAGCAGATGGAGGGCAGCTGGGGTGGCGGAGTGCCGGGCACCAGCATCCTGCCCCCTCCCAGCCTCCCCACCCGCCACCCCCGCAGGTGCCCCCTGAGCCCTACCTGTGGCCTCGTTGTAGTACACGTTGATTCTCTCCAGCTGCAGATCACTGTCCCCGTGGTATGTGCCCGTGGGGTCGATGCCATGCTCATCACTGATCACCTCCCAAAACTAGAGGGATGGTGGTGGTGAGGACAGAGGGAGGGGAAGCAGGCGGCAGGGCCAGTCCCTGCCTCTCTGGGCCCACGAACCTCCAACCACCTCCCTAGCTGCCACCTGTCCCCCCTGGCAAGGTGAAGAGGGGACCCAGAGGCCTCGTGGGGAGGCAGGGATGAGGCAGCAAGAAGGGAGAGGTGGGGGCGGGGAGGAGCAGAGTCACCACCTCAGCCCAGCCTGCTGGTGTCAGCTCGCCCAGGCTGCAGCCGCGGGGAGGGGCAGGGTCTCTTTGTGCGTGTGGAGAGGACAGCGGGCCAGCTGTGAAGCCAGCTGTGGCCAGCGCACAGAAGGCTGGGCCCCACCCCCACCGCCCTCTTTGTTCCCAGCCTGGCCCTGCCCCCGCCCCCCCCCGTCCCCGGGGGTGCCGGCCTCCCGGGGACCCCAGCCCTGCGGGAGGCCCCCCCGGTGGGGGGCTCTGCGGGGCTCGTGGCCCGGCCCCCGCGCACCTTGGCTCCGATCTGGTTGCCGCACTGGCCGGCCTGCAGGTGCACGATCTCCCGCATGGCGGTGGCGCTGGGGGCGGACGCGGCGGCGGCGGCGCGGATGCTGGGAGCTGGGGGCTGGGAGCTGGGAGCTGGGAGCTGGGGGCTGGGGGGCGCCCGGCGGGCGAGGCTGCTGCGGCGGCGGCGGCGGCGGCGGCGGCGGCGGAGCTCGGTCCCTGCGCCCCCGGGGCGCCTCTATATGAGCGGGCGGGGCCCGCGTCACGGCCGGTCACCGGGCCGCTCCGCCCCCTGGTCCCGCCCCAGGACCGAGGGATGTCCCTCCCCCGCGGCCCCCAGGCCTCCGCGGGCACCGGCTGGGGCGCGCCAGGGCCCCGTGCGCCCCCACCGCGGCCCCCAAGCCCCGCCGCAGAGAGCGGCCTCCCCCCCAGCCTCCCCCCGCCCCGGCCGGCCCTGCCTCAGTTTCTCATCCGTCGCCGGCCGGCCCGTTCCGCTTAGGTCGTGTTTGCCAGAACCCTTGCGTCCACCGAGAGGACTCCCGGGGGCGGGGGGCGAGCTGCGGGGGCTCCCGAGCTGCCGCGGTCCGTCTGCAGGGCAGGGCGGGGTCGGTCCCTGGAGGATTGGTCTTGAAGCTGCATTCTAAATGACACCAAGATTTTTCTTGCACGTTTGGCTGCGGATGCTTGTGGGAGCTGATGGGGGTTGTAAGCAACGGGGCGCTGCCCCCGGACACCTCCCTTGGGCCTTGGGTCCTCCGTGGCAGGTGCGGTCAGCTCCAGCCTTGCCTGCGGTTGAACAGCAAGGAGTAGGACTCCTAGCTGGGTTACTCTTGGGGTGGACACTGAGCCCCTGGGGGCTGCCTTGCCTCCCCGCCACCCACAGGCGCCTCTCTGCTCCCCTATTGTCATCCATTACAAGCCCTCGCCCTACCTCTGCATTTCTCGTTAGCTCCGTGACCTTGCACAGGCCACTTTGTGTTTGGCTGAATTTCCTTATCAGCAAGATGAAGCAGTCAAGAATGCTCGCCCCCTAGGGCCACTGGGAGGGTCCGATGAGATGGTTCAGTGAACAACAAGCCGGCCCCAGATTTCACTGCACAGAGTAAACAGTAAATTGTAGCTATTGGTATTACAGTCATTATCAGGGGCTGGACGAGAGACTTCCCTGCTGACCCTCAAGTGAAGGCCAGACCTCCTGGGGCCCTCCCAGAAAGCCTCCTCCTCTGCCTCCTCCACATTCCTGTGGTTTCCAGCTATTGGGAGGGTGGGGGCGGGTTTAGTCATGTTGGCTGTGTGGTTGGGACCTCAGGCTGGCCCCTGGCTTCTGGTTTTGACCCGGTGGTTCTCAACGGGGAGTGATTCTGGCCTCCCAGGGGATACTTGGCAATGTCATGCCCAGATAGGGTGTGTGTGTGCTGCTGGCATCTAGTGGGTGAATGTTGCCAAACATTCTACAGGCCACAGGACAATCCCTCCGTGGCCCCAAGAATGATACGGCACCAAATGGCAGTAGTGCTGAGGTCTGGGAAACCTTGTGAATTGAGAAAAAAAATAATTAGACCCTCTAGCCCACACTAATAGATTTGATGGGTTAGACAGCTGTTATTTATTTATTTATCTTTTTATAAGTTGGGAATTTTTTTTTTAGATTTTATTTATTTATTCATGAGACACAGAGAGAGAGAGAGAGAGAGAGAGAGAGAGAGAGAGAGAGGCAGAGACACAGGCAGAGGGAGAAGCAGGCTCCATGCAGGGAGCCCGATGTGGGACTTGATCCTGGGTCACGCCCTGAGCCAACAGCGGCGCTAAACTGCTGAGCCACCCGGGTTGCCCTAGACAGCTGTTATATGGTATAAACCAGGGTGGCCCCCAGTGTCTGTGAGTCACTTCCTCTTATCTGTCCCACTCAGATGTGTATTTAAATATGTGCACCATCCTTGGACTGTAGTAGGTCAGATGGTTACGAGGACAGTGTGTCTTGGGGGGTCAGTGGGATCCTGTAACCCAGGGGTCTCAGCTGGGAGGGGGGTGATGTGCCCTCCAGGGGATGCTTCACAATGTCTGGAGACATTTCTGTTACAACCTGGGGGTGCCACTGGCACCTAGTGGGTGGAGCCCAGCTCAACACCATACAATACAAAGACTTCTTTAAACCCTAAATGTCAATAAGGCCAAAGTGGAGAAACCCTAATTTAGACTTTTGAGGTTATGATCCAATGTGTTGTTAACAAAATGATCCCTGAGACATGCAGGTTCACTGGCCCATTTTAATATGTGTTAAAATTCATAAACTCCATGTCGGCATTTCTTAATTTTTTCTTAACATATCAAGTGTCATAAATATATATATATATATATATACACACACACACAAATGGAAGTGGCCTTGTTGGGAGGGACTGATGTGGGGCTCAGCCCCAGAAAGATGCAGTTTCCTATGTCGCCCCACCAGGGGAGGGAAGATCTAGGTTATGGACTGAGCCCCAGAGAGCAGGCCTTCCTGGATTAGCTCACCTGGGAAGGGACAATCTCTAGAGACTACGGGCCCTATTGTGCCCTCTGCCTCCCTCTGCATCAGGGCATCCCTTGGGTTTCCTAGAGGTCTTCAGGAGAGCAGAAGGAGGGCAGGGGGGGAGAGTATGGAGAGCAGGGGTGGCCTCTTAGCACCTGGAACTGCTGGACCTGGCAATGCCAGAGAGGTAAAGAGGCCAGAGATATAGAAGGCCTGCAGGGGTGAAGGGATGAGGGGGCTGGGGTGGGCTGATGTCATCTGTACCCCAAGGCTGCCCCTCCCCACTCTGGTCTCTCTCAGGCTTCCTTCCCAGGAGGTAAAAAGTGCCGGGTGTACCATGGTTTCCAGGCCAGCAGACCCTCCCAAGCAGGTGGCATGGCATCACCTACCACCCAGAAAGCCCTCAAGGCTCCCTGTGGGCATCTGGAGGCCAGATCACCCGGTGATGCCAAGAGTCCCAGGATCTGGATAGAGCCAGTGAATAGAGCCTGGGAAAAGAAAAGGGGCTGGATGGTGGGCCTTTAAGAACCAGGTTTTCAGGCTCCAGGTGCCGGCCTGCCCACAGAGCTGGGCAGCATCTCGATGCCCCAGTGACTCCACTCCGGGGCTGCATTTTTGCATCCGCCTGCCTGTCTGCCCCTGGGCAGCCATGGTGTGAGGCATGGCTATCTTGCCAGTTTTGTACAGACATGGATTTCTGATCGGCTCTGGCCCCCCGAAACCATCACTCTAGGAGAGCTCTGCTATTAAATTTTTTTTTAATTTTTATTTATTTATTTATTTATTTATTTATTTTTATTTATTTATGACAGTCACAGAGAGAGAGAGAGAGGCAGAGACACAGGCAGAGGGAGAAGCAGGCTCCATGCACCGGGAGCCCGACGTGGGATTCGATCCCGGGTCTCCAGGATCGCGCCCTGGGCCAAAGGCAGGCGCCAAACCGCTGCGCCACCCAGGGATCCCCCGAGAGCTCTGCTATTAACTGCACGCTAGTGTTGGGAGAAATGTAGGACGCTGGAGAGAGGGTTTCCCATACAGTTGGGTGTGACCCTGTGGGGAGCCTCCTGCTGTGGCCCAGTCCTCCCACCCTCTTGTTCACATCACATCACCAACTGAACCAGGTTGGCCTGGTCAGGGAGCCCTCAAAGAGCAGAGACAGGCCTCCCGGTTTTGAAATGGAAAACAGAAAACAAAACAAAAACAATCCCATTTTTATTTTTATTTTATTTTATTTTTTAACAATCCTATTTTAAAATGTCAGGTTAGGGACGCCGGGGTGGCTCAGTGGTTGAGCATCTGCCTTTGGCTCAGGGTGTGATCCCCCCGGGGCCTGGGATCGAGTCCCATATCGGGCTCCCTGCTTCCCTCCTATGTCTCTGCCTCTCTCTCTGTGTCTCTCACGAATAAATAAATAAAATATTTTGAAAAAACCCACGCCGCCAGGTTAATTTACTTCCTTGGAAGGAGCAGGAACAACAGGGAAGTGGCTGGTGGGGATTTCAGGGAGACGTTGGGCATCAGCACTCGGGCGAGGTGGAGAATTGGTGGAGACCCAGAACATTCTGCACACTAAACTGACCACCCTTTCTGAGGTCTGCAAAACCAGGGAAAAGCCTGCCTTCTAGTCGTGTTGACCTGTGCACCGTGTGGGGCCCACCCTGCCACCCCACCTGTGATCCTCGAGGCATTGCCGACATGCACCCCAACCCCCAGTCCACCTGGGGGGGGGGATGGAGTCTGTCTTGCCTACTATGAATGAGAGCAGTTTAACCCAGAGCCCGTTCAAAGGGCTTCGAGCGTGTCAGCTCTTTATGTTTGATGAGCTCATGAAAACGTAACCCTAGGGGGGCAGGTGCCGTTTGCCTGCCTATTTTACAGGTGAGGAAACAGAGGCCCCAGGAGGTTCAGTATCTCACACACAGTTGAGGCCGGGAATCCAGTTCCAAAGCCCCTGATCTTTTATTGCTACAGGAGGCGGTAGTTAGTTTGCTACTTGATATTTAAAAAAAAGAAAAAAAAATAAGGGCTGGCAGTTGAATGGCTCTTTCAGGAGCGAGATGTTGCGGTGTGAGCCGTGTGACTGTGACGTGCTCCTTGGCCTGGCCTCTGTTTGTGTCATTATGTCTGCCTACCATGTTGCCCGGGTGCTCTGGGCTGACACCCATGTGTGCGATCTGATGCCACCACCCAAGGGCTTGCTTGGTCCCCTGGGCCCATAGGTCATTGACTCCTTTCCAGAAGCTCCCTCCTCCCCTGCCCCTCCTGCCACTTCAACCCCCCAGACCTGAGAGCTCCACCTCCGCTGGGTCTGATTTCCCTTCCCCCTGCCCCTGGCAGAGTCCAGCTGCCCGCAGGAACCCAGCCTGGCACGGGCCCTCTCCAGCTGCAGAGTGGGGGAGAGAGAGAGTTCTGGAAGTTGCTGTTCCAGAGCAGTGATGCTGAATGAGCCTTAAGAGGAGACAGGCCCTCCCCCCATTCTTGCCCTCCCAACGCCAGGGGCCCACACAAGCTCTGTGCCTGGCACCGCTGGCACCCAGCGTGCGGGAGGGGGTGGGGACACAACAGAGCATTCTCTGGCCTTGCCTGGTGTGTGGCCTGCCTCCCTCTAACACTCGCCACCAGATACACCGTGGAGTCCATCCCGACAGAGGGACAGAGGCGTGCTCAGGATACAAGGATTTTCTGGGAGGTGGGCGGGG